AAAAAAAAATTATTCCAATCGAACCTGAATATTATGAACAAAGGAGCTGAACCCACCTTCGTAAGTTCAAGGTACCAAACTATAATAGATCTGACGCTGGCAACACATTTTTTTCAATTCAATTCAAATTATTTATTTGCAGAATGTGGTACATTGTAGTACATTGTGGTACATGAGGCGGCGGAACTGATTGAAGGCTGGCATGTGTCAAACAAGCCATCCTTTGCGGACCACCGACGCATATGTTACCAAATAAAAATGAAACTAACTGACCCTGTTCCATATCGTAACCCCCGTAAAACCGATATAACAAGGTATAACAAAATACTAACCAAAACACTAGACGGTACACAAATGACAGATGTAACACTTAGCATTAACAATATAGAGCTAAACATACAATACCTCACAACTGCTCTAACGAAAAGCTACGTAGAGTCATGCCTAGAAGTTACTCCCAAAGTTGCGAACAAAGGTTCCTGGTGGGGGCCGGAACTTGAACGCCTTCGGAAAAAACTCAGGACACTTTTCAACCGAGCGAAAAACACCAGAACCAATGAAGACTGGAACAAATACAAAGAAGCACAGAAGCACTACAAGAAGCGGATCAGATTCCGTAGTAGAGAACACTGGCGCAATTTCTGTAGTAGCATAAACTCAACAAGCCAGGCTGCTAGGATTAAGAAAATCCTATCAAAAGGTGATCTCAATCTCCTGGGCTTCCTAAAGAAGGAAGACGGCACCTACACGAACACGGAAGATGAAACAAGCACAATGCTGCTAAAAACACACTTTCCGGGTTGTAAGATCACATCGATCGCAAGGTGGCAGGATGAACAACAAAGCACACCGACAAACGAAGAGTGGAAAATCGCCAATAGTATAGCAACAGCGGATAAAGTAAAATGGGCGCTAAATAGCTTTCAACCCTTTAAATCCGCAGGACTGGACGGAATCTTCCCAGCGCTATTACAATGGCAAACAGCCCAAATACTAAAGTACCTAGTACAGATATACCGGGCATGCATAGCTTTCAAATACATACCCAAGCCATGGAGGGAAGCAAAAGTAATCTTCTTACCGAAACCGGGAAAAGAAGACTACACACAGGCAAAATCCTTCAGACCAATTAGTCTAACATCGTTCCTACTAAAAGGACTAGAAAGATTGGTAGACCGACATCTCAGGGATGGCGTGCTGAAAAGCAAACCACTACACCCCCAACAACACGCCTACAGGAAAGGCAGATCAACAGAGTCGGCTCTACACATGGTAGTACATAAAATAGAGTCGGCCATCACAAACAAAGCGTCAACTCTTGCTGTCTTCATAGACATAGAAGGAGCGTTTGATAAAACTATGCACAACAGCATAAACCACGCCCTGGAACAATTCAACGTAGAACCAGCCGTAAGAAGCTGGGTCACTGAACTAGTTAGTAAAAGGGCGGTTCAGGTGGTGGCGAACACGACTACCAGAGCAGAGGTTGTCAGAGGATGCCCTCAAGGAGGCGTCCTATCGCCACTACTATGGAACATGGNTTAACAGTAACTATACTCTATTAAGTTAGTATGTATAGATTGCTGTACCCAACCAGGTGTGCATAATACCTAAGTTACTTAGGACTAGTTTTTAAGTACAACAAATAAAATTCAGGATTTTTTCTTCTTCTTCTTTTTTTTTAAACATTTGCACATGTATAACTTATTATTTGCAAGTTGTCAAAAGTTGTTTAAATATGATTCGTATTGTTTCAAAAATTATTGGTAATGATTTCAGAATATCTTTATTAGACGCGAATACCAGGCCGAATGTAATGATTTAATTTTTATGAGACGTGTATGCCAGTAGGCCTAAGATGCGCGCATCGACAATGACATGATATGATATGACAATATTCGATCACGTAGATAATTTTATCGTTTTCCCTAACATGGGACCATCGACAGATAAGTCTATCAACCCGCTATCACGTGATAACCCAATTGTTGCCATATTAAGAAAAATTTGCGTTATTATGTTGGCCAACCTTAAAATATTTTAGCTCATTCGTTCATTTCCACAGATGAGTGTTCATTTCTACTACCGATTAGGACTAAACACAGTTTCCCAAGCCACGAAAGTTTGGAAAAAAAAAACGTAACGTCAGATAACTAACATCAAGTGTTTTCAAAAGTTTGCATTAGAAATAATTACATTAGCGGTAAAAATGGCTACAAAAACGTAAGTAAATAGATTTCACCTTTAATTATCGAAATTTCAATAAACCGTTTTCTATTCTTAATACAAATTATTTTTAAAAATATTATCATCACGATCTTTCAGGAAAATAAGAAGTAATAAGGCACAACTTTCTCATTTGTGTCAATATTTATGCTGTTAAATAAGGATTTCGCAGCCGGGGAGTATAAAACTCCACAAGGAGCTGCTCAAATAGAGCGCCAGTGGGAAGATTTAAAGGCAGCGTTGGATGAATTGGGGCCAAGTCGGTCTGTGGAGCAGTGGAAGACAGTGAGTACCTTAAACCAACTCTATTCCTGTTTTGTATTTATTTATTTACTTAAGTACAGCAACAGAATATATTATAGGTAATAGTTATCACAAAGTATTTGCATTACAATAATGTACATCAAATAAATTTGCACTCTAGTTAAAGCTGCTATACACGACATTGTTTAAATTTTGAGTAGTGCTATGAACTAATCACTATTTGGTATTTTAGTGCTGGAGGGATCAAAAACGGAAAGCCCGAGCAGAAGGCGGTGCTTTAAACAAAGCCGCCAATACAACCGGGAATTCTGTCCCCATCCCCGAGCTATCCGAAAACTCTAGTCTAATACTTCAAACAATTGGAAAAGAGATGGCGATGGGTGTTGGACTCCCTGAATCGCCTATTGGAGTAAGTAATTTAAAACATTGATGTCTAGTTTAATAATTAATGTAACATGTATCTACTTTGAATATGAGTCATCAGAATAAAAGTTGTTGTTCTTGTGAATTAAGTAACTACCTATTAAATGTTGTAACTTATAAAAAAAATGTTTTCAGTTTCATCGATTGCAGATTGTGGGAACGGCCGCACAAATATCATCATTACCCATTCCATCTCCTCCATCAACTAGCACCTCATCATTTGTCCCCACTCCATCTACTAGCACATCATCATCTATCCCCACTCCATCTACTAGCGCTCCATTGTCTGTCCCCGTTTTACCATGTTCCTCGACATCCTCAGCACCTATTCCACCACCGCCATCTTCCACAGGGCCAAAGCCAAAAAACAAAAGGCGTGTGAGAACTAGCCATCCTCCTGACCGATTTCTGGCTGCACAATTGGAATTAAATAGCCTTATTAAAGTAAGTTTTTGTTTATTGAATTGGTTGTTAAAACAAATAATTTTAATTGTATTATTTTAGAGATATGTTTATGAGATTTAAGTTTTTAAATTGACTGAAATATATGTTTAGTATTGGAATCGAAATTAGTTTAAATAATAAAAAATAGCAGAACAAAATAATATAACTAACATTATATTATTTTCAGTCATTAAATCAAGAGTTGCGACAAAGCAACATACTGAAAGCAGAACAAAACCGGCTTTTAATGTAAGTAAAAATATATTAATAGGTAGATAAATTAGTATTTTTCAATCATTCCAAAATTATGAAGGATTAAGAGAGTCGATTGTAAATTACTTATTCTTTCAACCCAATGCCTTTCACTGATTATTAGCCAAAGTAAATAAAACTTTTATCTTGTGTTTTATATTGTGGAAAAATAATTTTGTATTATCGCTGCCCTTCTGGCACGTGAGTGACTGAGAAGTTGAGCATGATTTACATTTTGGAGTACATTGGGGACATGCTCCTCCTGTGGCTCCTCTTCTAATGGCACTCTGAAACAAAACATATAATAATATAATCCAGTGTATGAATTACATAATTTATTTGTACGAGTATACATATAATGTAATATTACCCAAAATGCTTCATGAGGTTGTATATTGTGCAACAGGCATAAACAATTTCCACTGCCTTCTCCGGCGCGTAGTGTAGGACTCTGTCGATGCCCAGACACCTTAAACTTCCTTTTAGGTACCCATTAGTGCGCTCCACTGCGTTACGAACTTGGCAATGCCAGTCCGTATAATTTTGTTCCGGCGATCCCGGCTCAGCGTGGAGAACAGGGGTCATGAGCCAAGGCTCCAATGGGTATCCTGAGTCACCTATAAACAATAAAGAAAATAATATTTATTTATGTTTCAGGAAAATCAGCCGCAGAAGACAGCTCTAGTGATTTCACAAGATTGTGTCAAACACAACATTTTATGTTAACTTATGAGACTGATTGAATAATAATGCTTAAGACTGATTAGATAATAAAGCTTCATATAAAAAAAATGTTGATTTTTATATCAGTGATTAAAATAAATGTCACATTTGTTTGTTGGCAAAATTTTTTATGTTAATGTTATATTATGTTAAGAATGTTTAAACTGAACATTGATTGTTATAATTAATAATAAATGATTTATAACTGTTGAATTAGTTAATTACATATTACAAGGGTTTATGGCAATGTCATTCTGAGTCTGATTGTTAAATAAAAAATAATCATATTGATATGATTTTTAACTTGAATCGGATTTTCATTACTATCTCCAAAGACCTACCCAAAAGGAAGTAACTTCCTATTCCTCCATCATACAATCTCTTCATTTCAGTTTTCACATTACTGTGAGCCCAAATAAATGCATCATGCACTCTCCCTGGGTACCTAGTACCATTCACATGTAATATCCTGCACTCTGAATCGGCTATCTGTAATACAAAAAGTAAATGTCGATAAGTAGCATAATTATTAAATAGATTACTAGCTGTGCCCAGTTTACAACCTAACTGATTCACAAACCTATTGAATATAGGTACACACAAAAGTTTTGTTTGTTAGACAAGAATTTTATTTATATTTATGTAAGGATTTTAATTTTCTTTAAGAAGCAGACATAATAAATAATCATTACCAGTTGCACATTGAGTGTATGTGCTCCTTTCCGTACATTTTTGTACTGTGCGCCTTCTGGCCCAGGTGGCGGGAAGATTTTAACATGTGTGCAGTCAATTAACCCTAAAATTCCGGGCACACGGTATTTTTCTTCAAAGCCTGCTGCCACACTTCTTCGGGCAGGCTCTGAGCCTGGGAAGTNGAGCAAACTTATTTAAACGTGTTCGGGTACCAAGACCTTTGAATCGGTAAAAGAGACAAATATATATTCCTATGCCTTCAGGTCGAAACATGACTGAGCCACTGTAGCCGACCGAGTCACTGTTGCCTCCTTGACCCTACAGATGACAGTAGGTACTTAAATCAAGCTAAACACTGTGGGGTATCTCACGTCATTTGCAACTTAATAGGTATGTATTGTCTGATGTAACTGTTGACTGCCTATCTAAGTAAGTTAATGGTTATTTTACAAGGTAAGTAATGTAATAATATGTGGGTGGGACTGTAGGAGCACTAATATTTTGCAGCTAGCGATTATGAACTGTCGCCAGATTCGCCTCACATCCATTGCAATAATTACAAAATGCTGCTTCTGATAAACTCTTGAACTAGAACTCAATCTCCACCTAGAAGTAAAAGTATCACTAAGGTGCTAGATTCCTTTCTTTGAATTTTTCTAACCTCAAATTAGTCGTAAAAATTAAATGTCATTTACCATTGTAAATGATAAATAAATAGAGTTAAAGTAGCTTGCAAAAAGTTAATCTCCTATCGTGGGCAAGGATCGAGGACGATAAAAACACCACATCCTATCCTATCCTAATGTCAAAATATGATATAGTTAGCGCTTCATGTTAGGGTTTGCCAGGTTTATCACAAAAAAAAAATCTATCACTATCACATTTTGACAGATGACATGATAATTTTCGGGGTGCCATGTTAGCGCCGGTAGATAAAACGATATAGTGACGTCAAAATCGATATAACGCCGCGATAGCAGTTTATCACGACGCGCATCTTAGCTCTGCTGCAGGCATCACGGTGACGGATGGCCGAATGTAATGATTATCCTGCTTTCGCCTCCGAGATTTATTTTACCGTGTAGTACCCCTGTACGACAAGCCAATCCGCACACAATATTCAGCGCNCTAACTAACAAAAGACCGACCGGCATAAACCCAAACCAATCGTTGTGAACTTTTGACATTCAAACTAGTAGGTAATTAATATGTTATAATATTATGTGCTTCTAAAGCATTTGAAAGTCAAACAATAACAATTTGGGGTTTCATTAAAATATTAATGTTGATTGTGGTGGTATTTATTTGTTTGGTGCTGTAACGTTCAGTGACGGCTGTTGTCGAGGACACCACACAGAAGTCGTTCGCAGCATCTTTTCAGCGACATAATGCTCGCGGCACAGCGCGGGTTTATTTTGCGCTCGTGCTTGCGAACGCCAGAATTGAATAAACGACATTTTGACTTTTGAATCGTTTTGCTCCCTTTTCAATTCGTCGCCATTCACGCTCGCTGCCATTTCGCGAGCTTTCGAAAACGTTATTTAACGGAAACGTCATTTATGTGCAGTTAAAAAGACACTTCATGAAATTAACTGTGATGAAATGGAGGGAACATTGTTTTGGGAAAACAAATAAAAAAGTTGAATGTTTTGGATTTCAAGTGTGTTTTATTCCTCATATGCTTGATTTATGGGTTTTATAGCTTCAAATGGAGGGTATCTGATCATAAATTGATTAGTAATATTCTTTAATCTTATTAAAAGCATTTAACAAAAGACAAAAACCACTGAGGTTTTTCAGCAATGTCACATCAATTTAAATAAAATTAAAAGGCACAATATTTTTATTCCATCGACGTTTGATCATGTTAACTATGTTAAATACTCGTACGTATCTTCCCCCTTCCACACGATACCAATTTGCCCATAAGTACTGTATACGATGAGTATTTAATAACCCGTCGCCGTGCGTGTAGCGGCGAGATCAAAGCCGCGTCGCGAGTCCTGCGGCCGCGGCCGGCACCTTTGATCTTTGTCACGCGCGGTTGCTGCTGGTGCGAAAACCAATGAACAACACTTTGATAGATCTACAACAGAAATCTAGACGTGTTAGTAAATTGGTACAAAAACAATACAAAACTGGAGATAATGTGACGTCTATGATTTTTGTATCGTTTATAAAAAGTAGAAAAATAATTACTAATAACCTACTTATTTATTAGGACGAATTATTAATATTTATGTAGGTATACCATGATTGATACTTTTGGAGTCGGTGCAGGCAAACTTTACATGTTTCATAATCTTGGCACCGACTCCAGAAGTATCAATCATGGTATACCTACATAAATATTAATAATTCGTCCTAATAAATAAGTAGGTAATTAGTAATTATTTTTCTACGTTTTAGTGTAGGTTTTTTGGAGTCGGTTTTATTTTTTTTAATAAAATTTTACTTATTTCTTGCTTTTTAGTTAACTAATTATTACCTTGATGTTACCACTGAAGGTAGGCAGTACATTGAGACCATATTCTTCATGTCTAGTGTAAAATAATATTCCCTACAAAATAAATTGGTTCATAATCGGCGGAGATATTGCGTATAAAAAAGTTCATCCCCAATTTTCCACCCTTGGGGGTGAAATATTTTCTTCAAATTCGCATGAAACCACCCTTTTGATAATACCTATTCAACAAAAAAATAATCGTTCAAATTGGTTTATAATCGGCGGAGATATTGCGTATAAAAAAGTTCATCCCCGATTTTCCACCCTTGGGGGTTGTATTTTTTATTATTAAATTTAAATGGGACCACCCTTGAGGTATTACCTATACGCCGAAAAAAGATTTGTTCAAATCGGTTCATAATTGGCGGAGTTAGCGCGTAACAAACATAGAAAAAAAAAAAAAAACATACGGGTCGAATTGAGAACCTCCTCCTTTTTTGAAGTCGGTTGAAAAAAAAACTTTACAAGTGTTGCACAAAAATATTGCGTCACTAAAAAGATTTACAATTTTATTCAATTATTTAACAGATAAACCAATGATAGCTGAGAGTTGTAAAACTTAGTTCTCCGGGGTGTCGAATGGATCAAAAGTTTTACGCTTGGAACTGGAGCCACGGGCCCAAAGTAGTAAAACGTGAAGGTGGGCGGCGCTACAATAAAGAATTCTCGACGGCGCACCAAGCTGGAGTGTTTATTGTGCCACTTCGTACATGAAGACACGACTAGAGACGCGGCGCCGTGAACATTTAAATCAACAGCTTAAATATTTGTTATTAATTTATTTCGAATACAGAAAACGTAAAAATTATAGACTTTTTTGGCAAGCATTTAATCACCATCATATTACATTCCATAAAAAATTGCTCAACAATGCTTGTATTTACGCGAGCATTTTATTATTCGCTCACATTTTCTCATTTCGCTGTTGACTTATACATTACATTCACAATTAAACTTCCGAAATCAGAACAAATATTTATGAAACAAGGCGGGCTGTAATCGCGCGGCATAATAAAAAACAAACCTGCGAAGAGCGAGCATCCATATTTAAAGGGCACTCTGTTATTCGTGCGTGCGTCGAAAATGGCGCGGAAGTTTTTCGATTCCACATTACGACACGACAAATGCGATGTTGCCTGTCTCACAGTTTCTCTACTAGTCAACTTACTATTACTCGTTTCATAGTGTCCTGGTTAAAATTTGCGTTTAATTTTAACGGTACGCATTCAGTGCCGTTATATTGTTGTATTAAAATTACGCTTATTTTCGAAAACTAGCCGCGTTAAGACACTCGTTGTGTAGCCCATGTTGAAAGCGCCGGCAATGTATCTAATGTTATTGAATATCGTTGTCTCTACACCGACGGGCCATCAGCACATCAGCTTACCGTCCTTCCTCGCCAGGCAGCGCCAAGGCCGCCGGCGGGCAGCGGTCCCCCGCAGAGGTTTTATTCGAGCATTCTCGGATTCGCGTCACGCACCGCCGCGGATTCATTTCGGAGCCGGCCTTTTTATAATTTAATCTTATGCCTTGTTACAATCGGAATGATAAAAGGGGGCGCGACGTGTGCGAATATTCATGAGCCACGTTTTTCCGTGTCGATTGCAAGCAAATTGGAAGCCCGTGGGTAATTCCGTTTGTCGAACGGTGCACAATGTATATAACCTTTATTTCCATAACGAGGTCGCGACGAATCGCGACGAAACGCGCGACGCGCCGTTTGCTGTTTTGTTCTGCGGCTGACTATTTGAGTGTTCATATTTCACGTTAGAGTTTGCATTCATAATTTCATTTTCAATCGGAAAAATGTTGTATCTAACTTTTCCATTTTAATTAGGTTTATACCTACTTTTCATGAGCGTTTCAATTTCAAAATTGAAACCACTCAAGTTGGCTGTCAAAGGACACTATGTGAGTGATATTAATTAAGATGAAAACAATTTCAGACAAATGATGTAATTAAAAGTGTAAATATAGGTATTATGTGTAGTTTTCGTTAAGCGGGTAAAAATTTAAAGTACACACCCAG